TATGTATATATATATACAAATATACATATATATATATATATACATATTGTTTTGTTAAAAATGTTTATTTTGCATTTTATACGCGCATAATATTGTATTTTATTAAATAAAAAAATCATTCCACCCATCCCCCCATTTTTCATACCATATACATGTTTTTATGAATTTATTATGTATCATATTGATTCATCAGGCCTTTTGGTAACTTCTTAGCTCAAAACTATTTTAATTTTAGCTACAAACAAAGTTATAACATTTCAATTAAACAGACCATTTCACACAGTTCGTTTCTGTTTTTTTTTTTTACACTTTTTTTATTTCACTTTTAGCAGTTTCAGTCAATTGTTCTTGCAAAGACAGACCTTACACTTCTCACAGTCTGCATGTGAGAAGTAATTGCAATGTTCTTTTGCCCTTTAGGACTCCTATGTCTATTATTTTGTTTTGACAAATGTAGTACAAAAAGTCCAAAAGCAAGGCTAGTCAAGGTGCTATAATCATTTAGTGAGGGAAAATTAAATTGAGAAGAAATTTGGGGTGGTATGAGATGCATTTCTGTGCGACTTAACATGCTTAATGTAATTATACCTTTTACTATACTTCATTATACTATTTCAGTTGTGTTCAGAAATGCGAAACTGTATTTTTTGAAGCATATTAATATCTTTATGAAAAAATATCTTTAATTTATTGATGGAAATATTTCCACATTTTATCACTTGCCTGTTATAAAATATAGTTGGATTGAAGAGGGCGCGCAAAAGTTGAAGCCGCATACCCATCAGTAAATGTGCAGTAGCGCCCCTGCTCATATGTAGTTAGGGAAGTGTGTTTAGAGAAATACCTTTAATAGCTGAGTATATTTACAGTGCAAATGACAACAATGAACTACTGTATGAGAGAGGAAAAGTAAATAATTACATTTGAAAATAAATAAAATAGAATAATCGTTTAACAATCGAAACCGAGTTAAAGTGTTCAATCAATTGAGGTTTTCTTGAACACACAAACAGGCCCTCAGGCTTCGCACAGCTCATAATCGTATATGCTCAGTCATAATACGGCGAGTCTATTATAAATATGAGCACATCACAGGGTTAAGAGCAATAATCTTTTAAGAAGAAGCGATCTCTGCGTGTGTCACATGAATCACTCGACGTGTCCTAAAGCTGCGCTACAGGAGCGTCACGACACCGGCATCACAGAAACGCTCGCTCTGAAATCAGCAGACAAAAGCAGCCCACAGCGCAAGAGCTTTAGAAAAGTGATGCGTGTATATGCAATGCTTTAGATGTTTCTCTTTTATCCAAAACAACTTATAAATAATGGAACAAAATCATTTTGTCAGAGAGCCTGGAGAATATTTTTATTGCAATGAAGTTTAATGTCAAAGCTATTCGACTGCTTGTATATTGTATCGCGACAGCATCCAGAAGAACTATTACTTTATAACAGCTCTTAGAATACCTCAATATTCTTATTAATGTGTTTTGATTCCATGTTATTTAAATGGTAAACAAACAAAAAAAGGTTTAATTTGACAAAAACTGACAAACAACCCACCACCAATCTTGACAGACACATAAGTCAAATGGCAAAAAAAAATATGTAACATAATTTTATCCATTCATTTTCATGTATTAAAGGGCACCTATGGTAAAAAATCTACTTTTCAAGCTGTTTGGACAGATCTGTGTGTTGGTATAGTGTATAGACCGTCATACTGGGGTGATATGAACACACCCAGTCCTTTTTTTTTTCAATTTATCTACAAAAAAAAAGGGTCAGCCAAATTGGAGCTGTTTTCAAATCGATCGCACCATTACGTAGGTGTGCGATTTCCCCCCGCCCACCGAATTGATTGACAGCTGCGCGCATTAACATGTTCCGGTAGTCGCGTGTATATGTCAACAAGACCAGGCAGACATACGCAAAGCAACCGGGAATAAAAGCTCTGTTCTGTTCGCTAGGATCAGCAATCATCATCAAATGTGATTAAGAGTAAGTTTCACATGTTTAAAGTGTTTTAAAACAGAGTATGTGTGTAATTAATTACAGCGATTTACTTCATCAGCACAGCCGCGTGTCAGAACAATTATAAAAGAAGACGCTTCAATCCTGGTTTGTGGAAGTTAAATCAGGTTTATTTTGTACATTAGCATAACAGATATCCACACAGTACTTGAGGTTAGCCTTAACTAAGCTGTCTGCCTGCCTGTGTGTGTGTGTGTGTGTGTGTGTGTGTGTGTGTGTGTGTGTGTGTGTGTGTGTGTGTGTGTGTGTGTGTGTGTGTGTGTGTGTGTGTGTGTGTGTGTGTCATCTGCGGTGTGAGTGTGGGCGTTAGTTTGTAACGATATTGTGTGTGACTCCTCAATGCAACTTCACAATACTGATTAGTAAAGGTTAGTTCTTACTATAGTATCTCACAAACGCTACGTGAGACCTTCTTCCTTTAAGTCTGTCTGTTGTCTGACGCAGCTGAGGGAGGAGGCATGTAGAAGCAGTAGGCGGGAAAAACTCGGCTTAAAGGCACAATACGACAAAACTACCCCCTGCTGGAAATCAGTATAAAACAGCATCTTGTAAAAGCTATAATGAAAAATCTGATAAGTATTTTGATCTGAAACTTTATATACACATTCTAGAGACGCAAAAGACTTATATTAAATCTGAAAAAAGGGGTAACCTAGGTGCCCTTTAAAGGGGAGCTGTTATGCAGAAATCACTTTTATAAGGGGTTTAAACAGGTGTGTGTGAAGATAAGCATCAGTGTGTGATTACAAGCAGCTTCTGATGGTAAAAATGTATTCTATTTTTAATAATCACCAGCGCTTGACATGAACTTTTTTGATCACCCGCCACTGTGGCTAGTAGTTTTCCATTATTAGCCACTCAGCATTTTTACTAGCCACAATTATATTGTTGGGAAAATATATTTTATACACATAAATATGACTTTGACATGCTAAAAATACTATATTTACATTTTGCGTTATCTCCACATGCCTCCTTATTATTTTATTTTTTTGTGTGCCGTGTATTAGAGCTGCACGATTCTGGCTAAAATGAGAATCAGCAGTTGAGGAAATTCGTCTTGACAACAACTGAAGTAGATCTTGTCACATGACTGCTTTTTAGTTCATTTCAACTGGTTAAGTTCAGAGCATTCGGCCTGGTGTAAAACAGAACCCAAACGGCTAAAAAAACCAACAAAGTATCATTTTTAACCTTGAAAGCACCTTTAAAATCACATCAGTGGCCTCTATTTGTAATGCATAAAGATTCTCTCTGTAAAACATTACACGGCATCACATAAGTGACCTGTTTTGAAACTTTTTTTTTTTTAAAGGAAGCAAGAATGTTTGATTTGTGGAGGAAAAAGTGTGCAATTTTCTCAGTGTCTGCCTGACTGACAGCCCAATCCAGACTGCAGTGGTGATATTGATGGAAAGTCCTGATGTCAGGAAGGAGAGCAGGAGACACACACACACACACACACACACACACACAGACAGATGAAACTGAAGGACAAACAGTCCTCCTCTTTGCATGTTCTCTCAGCCCATGTGAGACTTGATAATAGAGAATCAATTTGCTGCAGCTGCTGTTTATACACAGACACATTGGCTTGATTGTTTACTAGACATCTGCGTTAAATTACACTTAAAGCGTGTCTGTGTGCTTCGCTGACATCTAGACATCATCAAACAGCATTTGTGATGCTTTTGCCCTCAGTAATGTGGCGGCTTAGTTCTCAGTGACAGAATGCCGAGCCAGAAATAAAGGAATAACTGTAAGTGATTTACTGTAATTTGAGCGTATCATCATAAACAGTGTTTATAACTGCTTAATATCTTCACAAGGTTGTTTTAATGTCAATGGACTAAGTTATTGTATCCCTTATTATTATCATTATTGATAAAAAATGTTAATTAAGTGCTGTGCACACCATACATAGCATATATGCATTTAAAATGTATTAATTATATATATATAATGTATTAATTTATTGACATGGAATTATTGTATAATTTTCTAAGACTTTATTTTGATGGTATTACACATTTTGTTGACTAAAAGTTGCATTTCAAGTACATGCCAATTAATTCTCGTTTGAGTGTCAGTAGACTATCTGCTAAATATCTGTTGATACTGCTCCTTCAACACAATTAACCAGTGGTGGAAAGAGTACTGCGAATTCATACTCAAGTAAAAGTACCATTAC